TACATTTAATTTACCTCAGCATTAACAATTCCATGTTCAACAGTATCAAAAAATTGAGGAATTGCACCTTTCGCCAAACTAGGTTTCACTTTTTGAGGAAAGCCCAAACACTAAATTATGTTAGTATTTATTTTTTAGTTAGTAATTATTTATTTATTTCTTATGTATGTACTTCAAAGTGTAAATAACAGTTAAACTGATGTCTGTGCAATTTCCCTCTCAGACCCACTCGTGGCATGGATAAAACACTTTCAACTATTACTATGACTATTATTTTTAACTATTACCTCAACTATTACTAGAATTATACATGCTAATATGTTGAAGGGTATGACAAATTGATTTTATATTTTATTGTTATTTGACTTTCAAAATAAACATTAAAATTGTGTAAATATATATGATGTTTAATTTGTTTTGAGACAATATTTAGACAAACCGGTATGTCATACCTTCAAAAATATTATTCTCAATCGTTTTTGTAATGGGTGATTTTACTCTAAGCTTGCTTAAAAACATGAAGAAAATGACTCAGTGAAATTGGGTTTTGTTTATGTTGCATGTGGGCCAGAGAGAAAAAACAAAAGTGCTCATCCTCTTAAATTTTGCCAACTATGTTTTTAAAATTGAATTGATATTTAATCTAATTATAATATTATGTACAATACCTCAACACCAGCATAAGTTTTTATTATATATTTGGGGAGAAAATGTTTTTCACATATAAACTTAATTTTGGCATCGCATTCATTAGATGTTTTAATAATTTCTGTCCAAGAAGAAAACGATGCCTTAGGAATACTAAAAAAGCTTCATTCCCCATCAAAACTTTTGTAACTAATTATACAACACTTTCTGGACATTATTAAAAATGAATACCTTATACTTAAGAGGCAAGTGTATACTAATAAGAACAAAATATGAGTCTTTCAAAAAGTGTTTTATTATAATTTCATGACAAGTTTAATACAGTTTTTTAACAAGTTATTTGCAATATTCTACATGTTCAGTTATGTTATTTGAAACTCATTTCATATTTTTCTTTTATCATTGTTTTTGACCAACAGATGTCGCTTCAGCTTCAAAATTTCTCTCACCACAAAAATATTTAATCTAAGTATTAACTACTATGAGAAATTTCGGAATTGTATTATGAGAAGAAAATCATAATAAATTATAGGATATGTTTTTGGAAAGTAACTTTTAATTGGAAAATAGTAAATACTGAGGATTTTAATATTTTATACGCTGTGTCTGTGTATGATTTGTACTTGATAGACGATTGATATATAACTAACACACTATAAAAGTACATACAATTTATCCAAACCAGTTGGATATTTTACTTTTTAGAGTTAAGAAAAAAACAATCAAAATACTTATTTTTTTTTTTTTTTACCTCACTTTTGTAATGGTGTATTATCAAAGTTTTATGGAATTCTTAAGACTTACAATAATTTGGTTATGATAAATGGTGCTAAAATTTGAAATATTTTCATTTACCTTAAAAGATTTCATTAAGTTATCCTTATCATGAGTCAAAACTGCTATCAGTTCCTTCAGATGCAGTTATTTTATTTAGAACTTCTGAAAGATGGTATCTCCAACACTTCATATATTTTTTTAGTATCTGGAGATAGTTTTCATATTTAAATGGACTATAATTATCTTAAGATCCGTGCAAAAGGTAATTTTATTAAACTGCGGACATTATAACTAATAAATTAAGGACCATAATGTGATGTATAGTTTTCAACAAACTGTTGTAAAAGCGTTAATGCTAAACTATTATTTTCATTACTAATTTCATTTGAGCATAATTTTCGAATAGATACAACTAAAAGAAAAAAGTATTCATAAAAATTTTTTTCGAATTCGATTTCAATACAAATCCCCTGTACAAAGAAGAATTTCTCAAAATTCCGTACCTTTCCAATACTCAAGATCATCCCACGATCCAGAGAGGCTGAACTTTTTTGAAATTTCCTTATTAAAATATATAAAAATGTATTAATAATATATAGAAAAAATAAACTACATCATTACTTACATTATAAGAAGCAAGTGCCACCATTATAGGTAACATAAGTTCTTCTTGTACATGTTGATTAATTAATAGTTCCAAACTAATCTCATCAATGAATGGTTTAATATTTTTGTGCTCATTAGAAGGTTTTATTACTTCTATTGGATTATTTGTCTGGTTGAAAATCTAAAGAAAATGCCAATTTTTAGATAAAATCAAACACTGTCTTACAAAAAAAAAAATTTTAATTCAACCGGGAATTACAATGGATTTAAGATTTTTTTTTACTATCACTTACTTTATGTTCATTATTTATTCGCCTTTTAAATTTCCTATTAGATATGCATCCAATATTTTTAATTCTTCTACAAGTTGTTACAGACAATAAAACAAATTTTACATCAATATTTATACAAGACAAAAAAAAATTAATCATGAAAATATATATAGGTAGGTAATGCAACAAATTATAATACAACACATTTTACTATGTATAAATAAAATATTAAAGTTCCAATACTTGGTTATAAAAAGTACAAAATATTAAGTTAGTTTAAATTATTATTACCATGGTAAATTTGCTGATGGTTTTTCCCCATGGAATCTGGTTTTTGTGGATCTAAACCAACACTTATTATCTAATTCAAAATTTAAATCCGAATATTACAAAAACTTGCAAATATTTTTAGTCGTTAAACCTGTTACAATTGATTTATTTACTGAACAATATAAAAACAATAAGAAACAATTAGGGGAAAAATGTTGCAAAAAAAGGAATATTTAATATTATATCAAAAAAAAAGGTTGGGGGCAAAGAATTTAGTACCAATTTAGTATACAAAATAACATTTTGTGAAAAATTTAACACTTGAAAATATAAAGCAAAAAAAATATGACGGACAGGAGACACAATAAACCAGGAGTGGAGTTGGCGAATTGGCAACCGGGTCCCACGGGTTGACGGGTATTGCGGGCGCGTGACGACCTTGCCCAGGGGGTCAATTCTTGAACTCGCTCGAGATCAAGCGAAAATTGGTAGTATAAGAATAGTCATATAGTATTATCGTATACGCTTTCTCTTATTTATTTTTGCTTATTCTTGAAAAACACTCGACAATTAGTTGTCGCATACCATAATGTTGTAGAATAAAAATGTGATAGTAAAAATATGTATCATAACAGTAATCTGTCTTCCCAATAGTTGTATCTTATATTCTTATCATTCGGTAATTATAATATAATAGGTATACATTCAAGGGCGTCCATTGGGGATGGCAAGGGGGGGACATGTACCTCCCCTGGCTTTTCCGTGTCGATTATACATGTATATAATTATTATACTATTATATATATTATTATTATTTAGATAGACTCGGATCTTAGTCTGTGGTATAAGAAAAATACGTCGAAATGTAGAATGATTTTTATGTGATTGTTGAATAACTTATTATATTATCATCGATTTTACTGTGATTTCACCATTGGTATTACCGTTATTAGTTATCAATTATCACGTATCAGTGTTATCAATCAGATTTAAACTATTATCACTATTAAAGATATATCTTTTAACAATTACCAAAATGCGTCTGACGTTTGTTATAAACGTATGGTACATTTTTATTAGCATTTTGCATTTTAGATTCAAGAATTTAGATTGACCAATTTACAATGGAACCACCCAAAAAGAAGTCTAAAACAACTTTATATTCGTACTTAACGGCAAAGGTATGTTTAATAATAATTTTATATAATGCAAAATTACTAATTAATTCAGCTCAAAAAGAGTATAATATAATTTAAAATGTGTGTTTTTATGTAAATATAAGATTTCAGTTGTAATAATTATTAAAATAATAGTTTATTGTTGTATAGAAGTACAGTTATTACTTGAGTGCAAGTGATATTGTGAACAAGTGTCAAGTTGTAAAACCGTGTTCCTCCTAATATTTATTTGGTTATCATTTAGGGTTGATAGTAAAAAATACAATATATATCTGAGTAGTAAGGTATTAATATTATTTATTTTTATAATGCTTTAATAATGGAGGGTATTCTTTATTACTCCCTTATCACTGCAGTAGCTAGTAAGCTTATGCACTAATGCTGAATAATATGATGTGCTCTGATTGTTTTACATTTGCTATATTTATGCTGCCTATTTAAAAACAATATTTATGTAAATAAATAAAGTCAATATAAAAATTGTGTTCCATAATTCTGTAATAATGAATAATGTTTACAGAATAACACCGTGACTACAAATTTGAACAGGGTAGCAGATACAAGTGATACAGCAAAAAAATAAAAAAAATATTGAACAGAATTTCAGTGACAAAGACTTTATGAATTCTGCTCAAAAAGATCAAGTAAGTACCCCAATGAATGAATCTCAAACTTGTGATGGTTTAATAGTAGAAAGTACACTAGACATTGGGTACTATATCAATGTTCATTCAATTCGAGATGATCTTAGATTAAAATTGTTGACTACTCCATATGTGCCGCCAATAGATAATGATTTTAAAAAGATGAAAATACTGCGGCTAAAAGAGGGTTTTCTCGAACACACTTAGAAAGGTATCAATGGATGGTATATTCCCCTATTTCTAAGGGAGTTTTATGTAAATACTGTGTTCTACTTCGCTCCACTTTGCTAAGAGGTACATTTGGAGCATTCATTATACCCGGTTTTAAAAATTTTTATCAAATCCACGAAGAAGCTAAAAAGCATACTGAAAGTAGATGGCATAGTGAATCCACGGATGCAACAAAGTTTTTTCATGATACTCAAACGTTAAAAAAGAAAGATGTGACAGAACAATTAAATAGTGCTAGCCGAAAACTTATTGAAGAAAACCGCTTGAAATTAGTATCAATTTTAAAAACAATAGTTTATTGCGGAACACATGACATAGCACTAAGAGGTAAACATTCAAATGAATGTAATTTCCATGATTTGTTATATTTTAGAATGGATGCTGGTGATGCTATTCTCATTGATCACTTTAAAACATGCACTTCAAAAACTAAATACACATCATGTCGAATACAAAATGAATTGATACAAATTTGTTGATCAGTTATCCAAAACAAATTAGTTGAAAGTATCAATAATTCTATGATATTTTCTATAATAGCTGACGAAACAGCTGACATTTCTGGGAAGGAACAAATGTCGTTAGGTGTGCGTTATTTTGACACATCAACTATGAGCATAAAGGAAGAATTTTTAAGGTTTACAGAGTTAAAAAAACTCAATGCTGAAGCCATAGCATCAAATATATTAGAATTTTTCAAATAATGTTGGACTGAACATGACTAAACTTGTGGGTTTAGGGTTTGATGGATGCTCTACTGTGGCAGGGAAAGAAAATGGAGTCCAAGCAATAATAAAAAGAAAATATGAAAGTGTAAGCTTCTTCCATTGTGCCTCTCATAAGTTGAATTTGGTAGTTAATGATTTGAATTCTTTACCTGAAATTCGCAACACCACCAGTACAGTAAAAGAAATAATCAATTTTTTTCGTGAAAGCATCCTTCGGCGTAGACTTTTTCCAAACATTCCTCTGTTATGCGAAACACGATGGTCAGAAAAATATAAATCAAAACTTTTATTTTATGAAAATTTCATAGCAATAAAAACAGCTCTTGATGAATTAGCAGTAAATAAGGATGGTAATTCATCTAGTCGATCACGAACATTTCAGCTATCATGTGCTGCATCAAAAGACACATTTGTTGTATGTTTGATTATAATTTCAACATATTCATCGATTTTAGAGCCAGTTGTCAATAAATTCGTTAAAACTAATTTGTATACTGTGCATCAATACATCAAGACTAGTTTACTGTCAATTCTTAGGATGCATAGAACTCAATGTGATAGATATTTCAAAAATATTTTTGAAACTATTAAAAAGACTACCATTGATCTTGACATTGAAATTAAAATTCCAAGACTATCAAACAAACAAACAAATCGCTCAAATCATAACGTTACCACACTTGAACAATACTATAGAGTTTCATTATTTTTACCATATTTAGATTCTTTAATTAATTCTTTAGAATCTCGATTCACGCAATCCAATGAAATTCCATTTAAAATAAGTAATTTACATCCATCAGAAGTAATAAAATTAAGCAAAAGTGATTTCATATGTACTCTAAAAAACATAAACGATTTATACAACATTGATAATCTTATAGAAGAAGGTAATACATGGTATGATTACTGGAATATTACTGAAAATTCAACTAAATTTAATGAAGAGTGTAATATTTCTTACTATCTTAAGGATTGTCAATTTTTTCCATCTGTTAAAAAATGTATCATGATTTATATGACCATACCTCCGACCACATGTACGATCGAAAGATCATTTAGTACTCTTCGCTGTGTAAAAACGTGGTTAGCGATACGGAGCAGCGACTATCAGAAAATTGATGATTTAAATTTAATTCAAGGTGTAGTGGACGAATTTTCAAAAAACAAAAGGAATTTACAGTTTTTGTTTTAATGTTCATCGATACTATTTTTTAAGTATTTATTCTAGTATAGTAAGTTATTGTATTAAGTTAAGTTATTGACACTTATAGAATTTGACGCGGTCCCGCCCAAAATCTGTTTGAATTCAAACAGCCTTTGCGCGGAAGCCGCGCCGCGGCTTCTCAATCAAACCGCCAATCGACGACGGACGACGCCGGCGCGCGACACGCGCGCCTGGAACCGTCGGCCGGCCGTCCAGCGAACCAGATTGCCAAGGCGCGCTCTCTCGTCTTCCCGACACCGTCCGGTACACACCCGAACCACACACACGTTCCGTGTATTTTCGCTACCGGTTCACCATACATATATTAAATAAGCTCTTTTGTTTTTAATAATAAAGACTTAGTTTACACCACAGTGCGTCGTTTGTTTGTTTCTCTTTGTTAATACTTTGTCTACTATCCCGTCTGTGGTTTCGACCCGACTATCTCCGTCGGTCACCACCATCACCTCACCACACCACGCGGTTCAATACAAGTCCGCGTCAAATTAAATAATAAGGTGAACTATTTATGTTGTATATTTTATATTTTATTAAAAATTGAACTACCAAGTATAATTTATTTAATAAATAATTATATAGTTATGATAAATTAATAAATACTATTGTATATATATTATACAGTCATAAAATATTTTTCTACGTAAACTTACATATAGCAGTTAACAGGTTAACAGAATGGTCAATATTATTGCAAATATGCAGTGTCCCCTCCCTGTATTTTCAAAGATGGACGCCCTTGGGTATAATATAATTATTTCATTTTATTGAATATATTATTAATTATTTTTTAATACCATATATAAGTATATAATATGTTTTAATGTCTTATACCTAGACTGACATACCGTCTCCGCTCAGAATCGTTTTTCTTATACAATGATATTATATCATTGAATTCAAACTTAACACCATACGTTACAGTGACCCACTTGCAACCTACTGTACAGCAGAGCACCTTTTTTAATTGAGTATAGATATTTTTACCGATACACCGAAACCAAAATGAGCTTAAATCAAAAAGCTTAGACAATTAATACAAATGTCCAATGTCCATATTATATACTTTTGTTTTAGTGGTTATTGTGTGTATAAATACTATTGTATATATATTATACAGTCATAAAAACATGGTTCATGGATTTTAATCATTGAATATTTATTTTCATCATTTTAATCATTCAAATATAACCCCGACAACATCTTCGTGAGCCATAATATAAGAAATATGAGCATTAAATCAATAATGAAAGCTATCCCAAAAACTCAACATCGACCGATCCAATGCCAGATAAATGCAGCCATAACACCGCGAATGGTACCTTTTAGGAGACGATTCAACTTTAAAAAGGCTAAATGGGCAGAAGTCACGAAATATATGGATAATGAAATACAAACTCTACAACCAACACCTGCTAATTACTGCAAATTTGTTGATAGATTAAAGAAGGTCTCAAGAAAATATATACCAAGGGGTTGCCACATCAATTACATCAAGGGACTACGACAAGACACCATAAAGGACTTAGAAACCTACTACGAAAGGTATGAAGAAGATCCCTTTTCGGAACTAACAATTGAAACTGGAGAACGTATTTTGAAGGATATAGCCGAAGAACGTAAAAAAGAATGGATGACATTAATTAAGGATCTAGATATGGTCAAAAACAGCAACAAAGCCTGGAAACTAATAAAAAGCATGAACAATGAAAAACAACAACCGAAAGAGCATATAAACATAACACCAGACCAAATTGCACACAAATTATTAATGAATGGGAAAACGAAGACAAAAGGGAAGAAAACTAAGCTTAAATTTAAAATGGATATAAAGAATAATACAAGTGACTTCAATAAACCATTCGAGATGGATGAGCTAAATATGGCCATCGGAGTAATGAAAAATAGGAAAGCAGCGGGCATCGACGGAATCATGACAGAACAGATCAAGCAACTAGGCCCCAAAGCCAAGGAATGGCTACTAAACATGTTCAATAACTGTATCAAAACCGATAGTATCCCAACAGAATGGCTCAAATCACATGTTGTGGCATTATTGAAGCCTGGAAAAGCCCCTACAGATGCAAGTAACTTTAGACCCGTGTCACTATTATGTCATACATATAAAATGTTTGAGAGAATGGTACTGAATAGAATAAAAGACAAGATAGACGGGAAACTAATCAAGCAACAAGCTGGCTTTAGGGCTGGTAAGTCATGCACGGGGCAAATACTTAACCTTGTTGAAGAAATAGAGAAAGGCTATGAGAATAATGTAATAACAGGTGCAGCTTTTATCGACCTCAGCGCTGCATATGATACGGTTAATCATAGATTACTGCTTAAGAAAATATATGAGCTAACTGAAGATGCGAAATTCACAAAAATTATTAGTCTTTTATTAAGGAATAGACGGTTTTTTGTATCATTGCAGGCCAAAAAGAGCAGATGGAGAAGACAAAATAATGGATTACCCCAAGGAAGTGTTCTATCACCAATTTTATTTAATATTTATACTAATGATCAACCAATTGGGACCCAAACGAAGCACTTTATATACGCTGATGACCTCGCTATTACAACCCAGGGCAAAACATTCGAAGAGGTGGAAGTGAATCTGAATGACACACTTAATACTATGAAGGAATATTATAATGATAATTACCTCAAACCGAATCCAGCAAAAACACAAATTACCGCTTTCCACTTACGAAACAGAGACGCCAAGCGGAAACTGAGAATTAATTGGCAAGACACAGAATTAGAGCATTGCGAAGAACCAACCTACTTAGGCATTAAACTTGACCGAGCCCTGACATATAGAAGTCATTGTGAAAACACAAAAAATAAAATAGGAACAAGAAACTGCTTGCTTCAAAAACTGGTTGGCTCTCAATGGGGCGCAGACCCTCATGTCTTGAGAACGACAGCCTTATCACTATGTTACTCGACGGGTGAATATGCTTGTGCTGCATGGAGAAACTCAGCACATGCTAAAAAGGTAGACGTGGCCCTAAATGTAACTAACAGATTAATTACGGGGTGCCTGAGACCAACACCAGTTCAGAAAGTACAAGTATTATGCGGTATAGCACCCCCTAATATAAGGCGAGAGGTGGCAGCAAGGGTAGAGAAAACAAAACAAGAATCAGACTTAAGACATCCTCTATATGGAGGTAAAATCATGGGGAGCCGGCTCAAATCAAGGAAAAATTTTTTGAAGACAACAATTAGCCTATCACAAACACCTGAAGCAACGAGAATAGACTTATGGAAGGAGGCAATGAAAGAGCATAACTCACTGCTATGGAAGGATCCGAAGGAAAGCTTACCGACCGGAAGTCACTTACCATGGTTGGTATGGAAGACACTGAATAGATTACGAACGGAAACTGGAAGGACAGCGAGTAATATGAAAAAATGGGGATTGAAAGATGATGGGAAATGCGAATGTGGTGGAGAGCAGGATGCGGACCATCTGTTTGTATGCCCACAATTACCGAATAAGTGTAGAAAGGAAGATTTTTGACGCATAAAATTTCAGACAAAGCAATACAAATTGCGGCTTACTGGGGAGCGAAGGGAATATGAAGACCGATACGACAAGAAGAAGAAGATGGATTTTAATTTCAAAAACATTTACCTAAAATTAAGAAGTTAAATTTTGACAAAATTCTCAAAAATGTACAAACTATTTTATTGTTAAATATTTCTAAAATATCTGAATAAGGTTTTGAACATTAAATACAAGTTTCCATATAAGTTTTACAAAAATAATGAATGTAAGCTACAAATATGTTTTATAACTTATATGAGCTTAAAGTAACATTTTTAAAAATCATTAATTTCATTATAATTAATTGCTCAAATTTAAATTTTAGGTATATACTCGGTAACCGAGAGAGGGTAAGTCCAAAAATCGTTGTAGTCGGCGCATCTCCCACCAACCCACAGTGGAGTATTTGTGAATAAAAGCTGGCCATAAGTAAAAAAAAAAAACAGCTTAAAACCATGGCAACTCTAGTTTTCTTAAAGTTTATTATGTAAAACGGGACCTTATGAACATTATGAATCATAGTTGTTGATGGCAACTTAAATAAAGCGTTCAAAGTTCAATAGGCATTGCTCATTTTATTTCTTGTTGTTTCGTTTAACGTGTACTATATAATACTCAGTATGCGATTAAATAAGTATTTAATAGTGGTCTCAAATAATTATTATGTTTAGGGTAGAAGACGAGTTGATATTTAGTTGGTTTAATGACACATAATTTTTTCATATTGTAATTTAACATGTAATTTATTTTTGTTTATAAAGGAATTAATATTATTTTTGAACAAATCTTTATGTGTCGAGCGATGTCAAGCAAAAATGTTTGTTTCAAAATATAATGTAGACACTAGGTATTAGATATTTGAAGCAAAATGTTCCGCTCATTCACGCCATTTAGATAAGCACCACTTTAATAATGCGGCGCACGTGACATTATATTTATACAATTTGGATATGTCGTTGCAGCTAACGTAATTATTATTATGTATATAGATAAGTAATTGTTGTTTGTTTGCGATAAGTAATACCTGAAAATATAATTATAATAATATAAAAGTAAATAGTAATTGCCTGTCGTGGATATTCCGTTGTGCTAGTATGAGCGGACGCCTTACAGTTTGAATAAACGTAGTTTATGTACAGCGATCGCGAAAATGGCATCAATTGAACCAGGTAGAATATTATTTTTATTTTTAATTTTATTTTTTTAAATGTTAATTGTGATACTTTTCAGAAGTACCAACAATATTAAAGGCAATGACTAGAAAAACCTTATACGAACTTGTACGCAAATGTTCAGAGAAAAATCTTGACAAAAAATTAACGTACATGGAAAACGAGCTGATTCAAATAACAAAATGCCCGACAGGTGAGCACTTTACACTAAGGCGTAATTTAAAATATTTTAAATCTGAATTTAAAAAAAAATGGTCAGCTGCTAGCAATAAAGAAAAACGGTTTTTAAAAAATAATGAAAAATGGCTAAACACTTCCATAAAATTAGTTACCTGGACAACACCAAAACCGGGTCGTCCAGTAAAAGATTTCGGTGAATCGAGTGATCGAAGTAAGAGACGTAAAACTAAGGGCATAAGAGAAACTATTTCTGCTGATGAGTTGACTTTTGCAGCCAGTATGAGTCAGCATGCTGCAGGAAATATTGATGTATCTAAAATGATAAAAAAAATAACTCTTACACCGACTAGAGCAACAAAATATCGAAAAGTTTTAGCATCTGTAGACAAATCGAAAGAGAAAGAGCAATTTAAAAAACACACACCATCAGAGGCTTTAAGTATATTTGTAGAAGCTAATTTATCAAAAAAGCAATATGAAGTTATTCATGCTGCTAATAAAAATATTTACCCTTGTTATTCATTAATAAAAAACGCAAAACAAGATTGCTATCCAAAAAAAGAGTCGATGAATATTACGGAAACATGTGCAGAAGTCAATCTACAAGATTTGCTAGATCATACTTCTTTACGATTGTGTAAATATTTGGAAAAAGTTATAGAAAACTTAACAGAAGACGAAAAACATAATTTAGAACTTATATCGAAATGGGGCTGTGATGGATCTCAACAGTCACAGTTCAAACAGTTATTTGAGAGCAACGAACATAGTGATGCGAATATCTTCCAAAGTTCACTTGTCCCTTTGAGATTAATATGCAATATTGATGACAAAAAAAAAGTTGTATGGCAGAACCCAGTTCCTTCATCTACAAGATTTTGTAGACCAATACGCATTCGTTTTTTACATGAAACAGCGGATATTACTAAAGAAGAAATCCAGTTTATTGAAAAACAAGTAAGCAGTCTGAATAAATCTGACATACCAACAGCTAGTGGTGTTTTAGTACATATAAAACATATATTACTACCGACAATGGTTGATGCAAAAGTTTGCAATGCAGCGACAAGTACATCTTCTACTATGAGGTGTTACATATGTGGAAATACCTCGAAAAACTTTAATAATTTAAATATTGAAAAAGAAATAAATAATGATGCTTTGAAATTTGGGTTATCAATTCTCCATGCTAGAATTAGATTATTTGAACATATTATTCATTTAGCGTACAAGCTCCCAATTAAAAAGTGGCAAGCCAGAACAAACGAAGATAGGATGATAGTAAAAGACACCAAACTAAGAATACAACATTTATTTAAAGAACAAATGGGTCTTCTAGTTGACATACCTAAGGCAGGATTTGGTAACACGAATGATGGCAATACATCCGGGCGATTTTTTGCCGATCCAGATACATCTTCACGTATTACTGGAATAGATGTAAACATAATTAAAAGATTTAAAATTATATTAGAAGCAATATATAAAATATATATATTAAAAGTTTGAAGAGTATACTACAGATACGGCTAAACTGTATGTGCAATTATATGGGTGGCACCCTATGTCACCCACATTACACAAAATTTTAATCCATGGGGCTACAGTTATTTCACATGCGATAGTACCTATTGGTCAACTATCTGAGGAAGCTGCCGAAGCAAGGAATAAACACTTCAGATTGTATCGACAAAACTTTTCAAGAAAATGTTCACGAGAGGCTTGTAATAATGATGTTTTGAAGAGACTTTTGTTAAGTTCCGACCCATATTTGAGCAGCATCAAACCAAAACCACAAAAAAAAAGTATGCCTTTTTCAAGTGAAACATTGAAACTTTTTCTCCCGGAGCGATTAGATGATGTATCACCAACAGAAGATATAAGCGAAGAATATAATCAAAAAGATGACGAAATGGATGATGAGAATTGTGACTAACGTGTGATTTATTATAAAAATAAATATTGTTATTTGTAAAAATTGGTTAAAAATTATAAAACTATTATCTAGTATTGTTTTTAAACTCATTTCAACTTCATAAATCCTTAAAAATATTTTTGGCCAGCTTTTTTGTACGAATACTCCACTGTGCAACGCGACTCTCACGTGATCATACACGTGACTCCCACTGTTTAATGTCAAAATTCGATAACAGACGATAGCGCTCGGTGGCTTACGACGGCGTACCAGTCCACTTGGTGGGAGAAATTAGACCTCGAAACCGCTGAGCGACTTTATTTGTAAGAGCGGCCGACTTTCGATCTCTCGGCCCACCGAGTATAGTTGTTGCAACTAATCCTATATGGTACGAGATTAGCTGTTACTTAAATGGTCGTATGAATGATGCAGCATTACATTCATTTGTGTACCGTGCTCATATATAATCATGGTATTAAAGACAGTTTAGGTCATGTTTCTGGTCAGAACAAAAAGAACAGCTTAATGACGGAAGAAAATGGTTCGTACGATGATGGTAAATAATATAGATATTATGTCAAGTCGGATGATTTTTGGTGGCTAATGTACGAAAATTAAGAGTTGCAACTCAAAGCATCATAATAAATTCTTAAAGTTTTTTAATCGGATATATTTCTAATAGAATAAAATATATAATTAAAAAAGTATGAAAAAAATAATTAATTTATATCAAATTGTCCTTCCTACATAAATTATCAAAATTAACGTGATGTTAGGTTTTAATAATTGTATTAAATAAATTTATAGATGATTCTAGTGAGGGTAATAGTGATATATCAATAACACTACCATAAAAAAAAATTGTATCGTGAATCACCTGAAGAACGAAAAAGTGTAGAGCCGGAAGAAGTCCGTTACAAAAATAATGATTAACGCTCTACACAAAGTTCCAGCACAAATTTATTTGTTAAATGTTTATTTAACAATTAAATTTAATCAAGCTCTTTTTAATAAATATGAAAAATTGATTTAGTATATACTGTTTTAGGTTAGTAAAACACAGTATAAACATTAGTTGAACAGAAAAAAATGTTGATATTTAATTTTCAAAAAAACCTTTTATGAATATTTATGACCAATGTTGATTAAATGTTAATAATTAACGTATTTATTTAATCTTATAAATGTTGAATCGACCTTGATGATAGGTTAATTATTGGTTTCTATTGTACCTATTTAATTAACCCTACCTCAGCTGCAATTATGCTTGTATTGCAAGGTTATAAACTGGATGGTTATATTTAATATATAACTGGTAGGTACATGAATGATATAAATACTATTGTTAGTATAGGGTTATATTAAATTAATTAGAACACATTATTTAAATTCACTTTGTTTATTATAAAATATTATAATAATTACTATTAATTAGTCAAATTCACTTTGTTTGAAACCATAAAAAAAAATTATTTATTGGATTTTGTAGAAGTCTTTTGATGGTAAATGGGGCTTGAACCAAATCATATTATATGGTTTCTTCAATTTCATCTTGGCATACATTTTTAAATTTTCCGTTTTTTCACAGCCTCTGAAATTGTAAAGTTATATCATATATTATTGGACAAATAAATAAATTATGTGAATAAGCGCGAGTAATAAAAAGCTTGTCTTTGTCAACTACATAACAATTTAGTAAAGTAAAA